GTGTGGTTTTGGGGGGGGTGGGGGGGTGTAACAACCTGAAATGAAGCCTCTCAACATTTTAAAGTGTACAAAAGTATAGTTAACTATAGGAACTATGTTACATAGTGAATCTCTAGAACTTACTCATCTTGCCATAAAACTGAATGTTTCTAAATATTGAACTTAGAGTCATAATATAACATATACTTACACATCTAAAATATCTCTTTAAAGACACATGACTAGAAAGCCATTTCATTTTCTCTAAAAAAGAATAACTCTGAGGAATTGCACAATTTTTTTTCATTTCATTTGGAAGAAGTTTGTAATTATCAGCAGTAATATACTGTCTCTGGCTTCTGAGCTGCACACTGACCAACAGGGAAGTAAAATAGCATAGTCATTGCTGCCCGAGCACACCTGGTTTTGGTTTTCAGTGCTGAGCCATATCATGATGTCTAGATTTGCCCTTTAAATTAACCACCCATTATCATGTTTTCTGGCAGAAAAGTGTACAGATTGCAAATGGAGTTGGACTTAGAACTCCACAGGAAATTAGAGCAGTGACAGTTTAGACATTAAGTATTAAACTCTGGCTTGTAGAGTCCCAATATAACCTGAATTATTTCAAGCTTATGAGTCTGAGAAAGGCAGAAAGTGAATTGCTTTTTGAGAGTCTGGATGGAAATTGCAGGAAAGTGGCAACTGAAACAATGGTTAACACTCAACCACTGTATATGGTCTTGCATTTTTTATTACTAATTATTAACGTTCTCTTTGCTTTCTGATTTAGTTCACTCAACTAGGGTTGGATTAAGATTTTAGAAACATAAGCAATGAAAAGTTTACAGATATCCTGAAATACCTCCTACTTATGGAACTCAAAACAGAAGTAATGCAGACAAAGGTTAAAACTATGACTTTAATTCTGTAAAATACCAATTATTAAATTTTTAAAGGTTTTTTGTATCCCCATTGGCTTTTGGAGCCTCTGTTTTTCTGGTTCCCTAAATATATGATTGCTTTGATTAATGGATAACCCAATACTGCACCCAATATATCTTCAATGTAATTTGCTTCTTACTCATTACATTAAGAGCGTTTCAAAAATTGAAAGGACATCACCTACCTGACCAACCTAGGTCTGGACTGTCCTAGCTCCCTTAGCTGTTCTATGTCCACATTTTCAAGCTAATTTTTTTCAAATCAGTTAAAAATGATTGCATGTATCCCTGCACTCAAGTCCATACAAAAACACTTTGGGAATGCATTATGGCACTAGAAAGCCAATCATTTGGAGGAAGGAAATCAATCAAAAAATATTCATGTGGGTAAACTCATTAAATATTTCCATGAAGCCTTCAAGGCAGATTTCAAAACCTTTAGCATAAATTATAAGACCCTTTAGGCTGTCTTCCACCATTCCCTCTAGACTTATTTCTTGCCCCTCTTGTGCCTCAGTGTTCTGATTAAATGACTAGTAGTTTCTCAATATAACTTATTCTTTCTTAGAGGCTTAGTATAATCTGTAGCCTCTGTCTAAAACAACAGTGTCCAGTAACAATACAATGCAGTATATGTCATTTAAAAATTTCCAAGAGCCACATTTTAAAAAGTAAAAATATGAAAAATTCAATGTTAATAATATATTGTGTTGGACTCAACATGTCCAAAACATTATATCAATTTGTGATTGATATAAAAAGATTAGTGAGGTATTTTACGCTATTTTTTATACTAAGTCTTCTAAATCCAGTCACAAAGTGCATCTTAATATGGCCCAGTCAAATTAGCCATGTGGCTAAATGCTTCCATATTGGATGCTGCAGGTGGAGAAAACCTTTATCCTTCCTCGCTTTAGGATTTGGATCAATCTCACCATGTCTGAGGATGTTCCCCTTCATACCCAGATCTGTGTATCGCCCAATATACCACCACAGTGCCACAGATGTACCCCTTATAATAGCACTTATCACCTTGTATTGTCTGTTTGTGTATTCTCATCTGCCAATAGAGTTGAAGCTCCTTGGATAGAGTGACCATATCTTTCCTAATTTTATACCCCAAGCATATGGTAAATATTTATTACAGAAAGAGCTATGAGTTTTTACTTATGTTAAATAGAAATAGCAATGTTTGTCCAAGTGGAAATTGGTTCAACACTAAGTCCCAAATATCTATTTATTTATGTACGTATTCTGAGACAGAGTCTCACTTTGTCGGCAGGCTGGAGTGCAATGGCGTAATCTCTCCTCACTGCAACTTCTGTCTTCCTGGGTTCAAGTGATTCTCCTGCCTCAGCCTCCAGAGCAGCTGGGATTACAGGTGTGTGCCACCATGCCCAGCTAATTTTTGTATTTTTAGTAAAGACAGTGTTCCACCATGTTAGCCAGGACGGTCTTGATCTCTTGACCTTGTGCTCTGTCTACCTCAGTGTCCCAAAGTGCTGGGATTACAGGCGTGAGCCACTGCGCCTGGCCCCAAATCTTTATTAAGCACTTATAATTTATAGTTTACTCTGTTAGTAAACAATCTCTATGTTCTAGGTTTCCTTCAATCTATTTTTAAAAACAGAAACAAACTTCAAAGCCAAAATTCTCACAAATGTCTAGTTACTGTAAAATGATTTAATATAAACCAAGTTGACACTTGCATTACAAGTGCTGTTTGGAAGAGAACTGATACAGATTATTTTCATCTAAGAATTAATAGAGAAACTAGTCAACATTTGTGACACAAAGGGACAGCAGATGCTTCCAAGCTGAGGCTGGTAACCGTCAGGGTGCTTTTGTCTCACCTAGACCAACGACACCATTTGTTCTATTTGTAAAGGGCCAAATTAGCGACAAAGAAGATGTCTCCCTTCCTTTCTTTATTAAGTATCTGGCACTTAATCATCTTTAGAAGGCATAAAATAAACACAGGTCATTTATTTCCACATTTTTGATTAAAATATTAATCTGGCTTTAGTTGTAACTGTGTTGTGTCTTAGCCATATGAAGAAATTTATGATGAAACTATTAATCTCTCTCTTTAATTTCCTATTTTTTGGGGAAAAATTGAAGGATTTTATAAAATATAAATTTGCAAACACCAAAATAATCATTTTCCTACGCGTTTGCTCAACACAATTTTCTTTTGTAATGATTATAATGCTCTGTATTAAAAGGTTTTGTAAACTATATGGCACTGTATAAATGTGAGTTATTATAATTATTGAATAGGCCATTAATTAAATAAAGTGATATTAGAAAAATTGAATTTAATTTTCATTAGTCTTCGTAAGTGTTAACTAATGACACTTTGGCAAATCTTAATATCACTGCTCATTTGGAAGCTGAAAAAATGAGGGAAAATATAATTTGCAAAATGCCTTTGATTCGGTCTTAGGTAAATGGCAGCAACCCCCACAAAACTTTGGCCTACGTGTTCAATTACTTCTCACTTCTTTCTTCTTAAGTGACTGTGTTGAACAAATTTCTCATTTAACCTTTTTCCTCCAGCTGGTAACTGTTGGCCAATCCTTGATTTTGATTCCATTAGTCAGCTCTTTTGTATAGGTTTTGCAAAATTGTGTTGATGTTAGTGAGTTTTCTTAAAGATAACATATAAATCTAACCTTTACAGTCAAAAATAATTTCCCTAAGTCTTGGCTAGCTTAGACGCAAGATATGTCAAAAGCTGACCTGCACTGAGCTAACTCTGAGTGGCTAACACAGGCAAGCAGCAGTTGCGTTGAACAAAAGCAGTGCTATATCTCATCGATTAGTCGTGGCTCCCTAGAGCACCACATCAGGAAAGACCATAAAGCTCTGAGGGGGCTCGATGGGAAAGAGTTCTATTATCGATTAGGAATGTCTGCCGTGGGCATGAGCTGGATTTTGACAACTGGACTGCCTTATTTTTGCCATCCAAAGGCTAGGTTGATAAACAGCAGTAGGGAGCTGGAGTAAAGTCTACCCACTAGTTAGCAGCTGCTGAAAATGAGAACTGACCTTCAGAGAGCAAACAAGTTTAACATAATCTGGATCTTTACACAGAAGAACCAGCACTGTCTATATGTCAAGTAAATTAATGCCCCTGGTAAGTGGTGGTAAAGTCCATAAAATATTATTGAAAAGTAGTTCATAAGAAATATGGATGTATCGACTACCCAGTTAGATGGTGACCATCACACAGAAGAAATGATGACTTTTATTCTTTTCTTTTTTCTTTTTTCTTTTTTTTTTAAGACAGCGTCTCACTCTGTCACCCAGGCTGGAGTTCAGTGGTGCAATTCTGGCTCATTGCAAACTTCACCTTCCAGGTTCAAGCAATTCTCCTGCCTCAGACTCTTGAGTAGCTGGGATTACAGGCATGCACCACCACACCTGGCTAATTTTTATATTTTTAGTAGAGACAGGGTTTCCCTATGTTGGCCAGGCTGGTCTCAAACTTCTGGCCTTAAGTGATCCATCTGCCTTGGTCTCCCAAAGTGCTGGGATTACAGGCATGAGCCACTGTGCTTGGCCAGAAATGATAACTTTCTTAGCAAGTCTTCCTCCACTGCCTCCTTTAAATCTTACTTGAACTCAATCTCTCCATGGACAATTTAAGTCTCTTGCCAGCCGAAAAGACAAAAACTGAAATGAGATAGCAATACGTCCTCATTTTCCACTCAAAGAGAGAAGTAACAGGAAATAGAAAGAAAGCCTCATCCTTGACCAGAAGGAACCAATATCCGACTAAAAATAATCTCTTCTCCCTCCATTTTTCAAAACAGAAGGTGAAGACAGTAATGAACTTCAAAATCAGACTGTGAGTGAGAAATATACTGACAAGCATTTTGTTTTCCAATAAGTTGGGTTAACAGGGATTGAAGACTTACAGATGTTTTAAAGCCAAAAGGCTGAAAAAGGCCTGTTCTAACAAACTAACAAATATTTAGCTTCTTTTAAATTTTCTAATCTATCACCAAAAAAGCACACAGAAAAAAAGAATAAACCATGCTTTAAAATAGAAGTGAGCTCCACGCCACTTACAATTGCCTTCTGCCTCTGCCTCTCCCTTTGCTTGGCCCTCTCAGACTCTCGCTTCTCATACTCTCTGCGGTATTCTTCCCTCTTCAGCCTCTCATGCTGATAATCCTCGTAGCTGTCATACCTGGGAAACATAACTTCATCACTAAGTCAACCACCTCAATTTGCACGAGCAAAATGAATAATAATATGGGAAGGGGGATCGGGATTTAGGGAAAATCTTGTCATCTCAAGGAAGGGATAAAGGGAGCCAAAGAAAAATGACATGTCTCATTACCTGGGCCTACGGCTGTAGGGCGATCTTGAACGTGATCTCACATACAAGGGAGAACTTCGGTGCGTGCGGTGTCTGTAGTGACTTGACTCATAGTAATAGCAGGATCTGCGGCAGAGGAGAAAAACAAAAAGGCTATTTGCAACTGCCACTTAACCCAAGTTTATCGGCACTGTGGCACCTCCTCTGGAACACTGTATTACAGAGACTGGCTTTTTCTTCCCAGCTTCTAGTGAGATTTCCCAGTGACAGTCTGTGATCATCTAGTCAGCTCAGAGGGCTGGGAGTGATGTGTTCTCTCTCAGCGTCTCTTATTGACGTTAACACTGAGCACCAGGTCTGGTACACTGTCAGCTTTATCTTGCATGGATCTCCACTATCCTGGCACAGGGCAGCGCTCCAGGTAATGGAAAAAGTTAGACGAGCAAGTTTCTTACAAATTGCTCTCTCTGATAGGACTGGCTCAAGGCACTGTGCTCAGAGCTGACAGATTTAAGAGAACATGAAGAGAGATGTGAATGTAACATCATTCTCTTTATTTCCAGCAGTGCCAGGAATGCAGTGGTCAGGGGCTGCAATGACTGCAGATTTCAAATTTTTATTTGTATTTTAGTTTATATATTTTTTTACTTCTTAGGAACACCTTGCGTGTTCTTAGGGTTTTGCCAAGGTTTACCTTGAAGAGGATCTACTGCCTGGGGACCTTGATCTTGACCTGGAATATGGTGATCGGGAACACGACCTGTGTCGAGAAAAGGACCTTGAACGAGAGCGCATCCTTTGGGGTCTTTGAGAAAATAAGGATTTGGGTGGTGACACGGAATCTCTACATGGAGAGTTAAAAGAAGAACAAGAAGGAGACACATTGAACAATGAATAGGATTGCGTGCCATCCCAAGGGTAGCTCAGTTTATCACTTTCGTCTTCACTGTCATCAAACAGGCCATCCATGGCTAGTCCTGAATTTATAAACATAGGTAGTTTGGAGAATTGTTCATTACTGAAATCACCATCCCTCAGTTCACTGGTCTTGTTTGCTTCGTCGTCAAAAACAGCTTGACTGGGATGACCGAAGTGCTTGTTCAGCTCGGCTCGGATTTCCTGGTCTTGGAGCTGTTTTCTTGTGCTGCAAGGAGAGACCTGCTTGCTTGCCTCCGAAGTCTCTCTCAGGTAGCACTGGTCTGAATCTGTGGAAGAACAAATCTGCCCCTGCCAATCGGAGGAGACATCTTTATTTTCTAGTTGTCTAGAGTCTTGGAGCTCCTGTGATATATTAATGAGTATTTCCGTTTTGGAATTAATTGACTGGCAATAGTCATGGTCACCAAACAGCCGTAGACTGGGCCGCTTGGCCTTCCTTTCCTCGTGTCCGCCAGTGAGCACTGAGGACTTGCTGAGTTGTGCATACAACTCCGATTGCTCCGGCCCTTTCTTGGTGGAGTTATTGCCTTGGGTACCAGAAGACTCACTGTACCGGGGCTTCTTTGATGGTGGTGGCACCACAGTCTTGCAAGAGGACTTCAGCTTTGGAGAAGCCCTAAAAGGGTTATCTTGGTTGGCTTTATGAGGAGGAGTGGTGGGTGGAGTTAGGCCTAAGGCAAAAATTAAAAACAAAAACAAAAACAAAAAAATGGAGAGGAAGAGAAAAGAGATAACGCTCTTAAATGCCAAGACACATGTTTTTAATTTTTCCAAGATTTCAGACAAGAGTTCAAACTAAGTGAAGAAGAAGGAAACTAATTTCATGATGCGGCCTGAAAAACTGACTCATCCCCTAAGCCTCTGTCACCAAGAAAAGATGGATCTACACTGCTGAGCGGGAGGCAGAGCTGTGATCTTTTGTATTTCAAACACCAACGCTAACAAATCCTGCTTCCCAGAAAACATGAACATGTCACCCCTGGCCTGCACAGAACGAGGCATTATTACCAAAGCTTGCATTTTCAAGGGGATTGTATGGGCTGCTTTATGGAAAATTAATAAAGAGGGACTAAGGAATCAGAGAATAGCCTTGGTAGCATTTGTCTGCAAAGCACATCACAGAGGATGCAAGCGGCTCAGAGGTCTTTGTCCAATCATGAGAATCTACCCTTCGAGCCTAGGAATTAAGCAACTTAAAAGGAAAAAAAAAAGATGGGATGGCAGGAAATGTGGGGCAATGGTGAGAGTGGCATAAGCAACTTCAGAGTAAGTTCAGTGAAATACAACAGCCAAATGCAGGGGCCTAGAGCAACTCTACAACTTAACGGCAATGATTCTTTGTCGTCACAGCTCATTAACCTAGTAAACCATGGCTAATGTAGGTATAACACATTCTTGTAAGCATTACTAATACATTCTGTCTAAAATATGGTTCTGCAACAGAAACCTAAGTGAACAGTAACACTAAATATCACAGGGCCGGCGGACCATTTTATATAGAGCACAACATAAGGGAAGGTTATAGGACCGAGGGATTGAAACTCAGCCAAGTTTTAGCAGCTAACTAGTTAAATAAATAAAAAGGAAGAAAGAGGAACAGCCATCAGTTGTTGCTGTTTCTGCTTTTCTACAAGAGGGCAGAACATTTCATCAGAAACCAGTGTGGGAGAGTCTGTGAAGCACAGTAGTTCCCTCTGTTGAGTGTCCCCACTGAATAAGTCCTACTCATCCCTTTGTGCCGAGGAAGAAGCATTGTGAAGCAGCTTCAGAGTCCAAGGAACTTTGACCAAGGGCAGGCTGGAGTTCAAATGACTTTATGCTTACACGGGAGCATTTTAGTTTACAACACACTTTCTATTGAGGAGGCTAGGTGAATGCTATTCAGCAAAAACAACTTCAAGTCTGCTAACAAGCCTGGGGTTAGACTTAAGGCAAGTTTCAAGGAAAAGAAAACACTACCTTCCTGGAAAAAAAAATATATATATATAAACGCAGACACACGCACATACATACACATACACACACACATCACACACACACACACACACACACACACACACACACATCAAGAGTCAAGTAGGTCACAGAAAGCCACATGAAATTTTGATGTGAATAGGAAGATGCTTCCTCACTCTCCTACTTTATAATAAAGAAATGGAAGGAATGAATGTTTTCTCTAAAATGAAATATTTTACACCAATATTTGGCAATTTTTATTATTCAAAGCTAATTCTCCCTGAGAGAAGAAAAGGTACATGAATGCAAAATGGTTTGACTCTGGAGTTCCAAACCAGAAAAGTTCAGAAAGACAGAGAAATTTAAACACAAAGAGAATGGGACACTGTACTCCATCCATGGTCACACCTGAGTCTCAAAAAAGCTTCCCTTTGTTGGATGGCTCTTTGCCCCACTCTTCACTGTAGCAAAGGGCGTTACTTATATGAATGAATCAAACATCTGTGTCACTGAGGCACACTCACCTCTTGTTTCCTCTTTCATAGATGAGTATGTCTTTTACTCAATCTAAGAAATTCCTATTTGGTCAATCTTTTCTTTTCTCTCCGTTTTCACTTATTTACCTATTGCACTGCCTTATTCATGCATACTGATTTCTTCTACATGCTGCCTTCAATTACCACTGCAACAAATTTAAAGATATTAATTCCCAGCAAGAAAAAAAAAATTCTCAAATATTTCTCGTAGGAGCCTGAGATACTTAAAGAAATAATGATAAATAATCTCTCTTTGCTGAGTAAATACCAGTCAAACGTGTCCAACGACATAGTTCTTGAATTGGAGAAAATGACATTCAACCTCCTAACATTCAACTCCATAAATCTTTGCATGATCACCCCAAGCTAGGGTAATTTTGACTTCTTTTATAATTTACTGTCAGGATCTCTCTCTCGAAACCAATCACATATTGCTATACATTTTGAATGTGAATTCTATCTTGTCATTCCAAATCGATTATAAGCTCTTTGTGGGATGTCGCTTGGGCACATTTATTGCATTATTATTTTGCACTAATTTTAATTTTTCTAGATTCTCCTTTAGTAGTGGGCCTCACATTTCAGCAGCCAAAGAATCACTTGGGAAACTGGGCAAACAAATTTTTTTTTTTTTTTGAGTCAGAGTCTTGCTCTTGTTGCCTAGGCGACAGTGTGGTGGTGTGATCTTGGCTCACTGTAACCTCCACTTCCTGGGTTCAAGTGATTCGCCTACCTCAGCCTCCCGAGTAGCTGGGTTTACAGGTGCCTGCCACCACACCCAGCTAATTTTTTTTTGTATTTTTAGTAGAGACAGGGTTTCACCATATTGGCCAGACTGGTCACGAACTCCTGACCTTGTGATCCATCGTCCTTGGTCTCCCAAAGTGCTGGGATTACAGGCATGAGCCACCACACCCAGCCTGGGTAAACATTTTGAACGAGATGCTTCACAGACCACACCTGGAGAACCCCAGCCCTAGAGTGTCTGCAGCAGGCTACTGTGTACTCTCAAGGTACACATATTTTGACAGACATTTTAGATTTATAAAAAGAAACCTTAAACTTCAGGAACGCCAAATTAGGCCACTATTAAAGAGAGACTGGTTCTAAAAATAGCTCAGGTATCTAGGGATTTCAAATATAGAAATCCTTCTGAGTCTTGAAAATTTGAAACCCTTGTCCTAGTACCTGAGCTCATTATCGCTTAAATAACTGGTTCTCAAGTTGCTCTGGGGAGTGGCGACACCTTGATTGTACTTTCTTTGAGTTAAAAACAAAGCCTTTTACCTCCATCAGACATTGGACAGCCTGTGGCCATTGAACTGACATTTGTTGAACACTTACTATGTGCTGGATATAATACCAGATACTGCTATTTCAGGGACTCAGCCTTCAGGGACTTCACAATCCGTTTTAATAGAAAGGCACTTCTTTAAAATTTGACATGAGTATGTTTTTCTGCATATATGCTTAAAATTGATGGAAACACCCAGAGACCATCAAATATGCCCTGTGAGTAAAAATACCAGAATTGCACATTTCTGTTGGCACCACTTGTTGAAACAAATAAGTAATACTTGCTTATTGAATGGAAGATATTTCAGGATTAGTGAGTAGATGGGGAGAGAAAAATAATTTGGCTAATTCCCTAAACTCTTCATTGTTCACTGAAACATCTCTAACCAGAGAATGTCTCAGAGCAAGATTGAGAAATCTCACGGATGACAAGACTTCCTGTCACCAAGCCTCCCTAAGTGAAAGCCTATCTCCAGATAGAGTTGAGACCCAAAGCCAGACCAAACAAAGCAAAAGTGCAAGGAGTATCTTTTTTTCTCTTAACATAGTGTTAAGCTTTTCAGAGCTGCTGATGAGACCGGCAACCCCTTGCTGCCTCTGAACTAGTTATATTTCTCTAGCCTCATCTCCCCTATCCAGAACTCTTCCCCCTGAAGTAAGAGGGAGGTGGGTGCTCAATCCCTTGATGCCACCACCTTTGTCCATCTTCCCACTAATCGCCAGACTCTCGATTTCATGCCACAAGCCCAAATCAACAGTGCTAATGCCTCCCATAACCTCTGGATTATTTCCTGCGTGTTGATTTTCCGGGGAATGTGTACATTTTGGTGTTGACAGTACAAGGTATATTCTGTGCTCTCTCTTGAACTTAGCAGGTTTTGACAGATTTATGTGAGGACAGATGGCCATTACAGGCTGAAGGCTGACAAGAGGCAGTTCCGAGCATTGTTAACACACTTGCACAAACTCTCAGCAGTGCAGCTCGGTGCAGAATGTAATTCAGACTATAGCTTTTTTATTGCCGCCTATTTTCTTTTGTCAAAAGAGCCTGCTGTGCAGAGCAACAAATGGCTGCTATTACCCAGAATGTAATGGGTGTCAGACAAATCACATAACACAAACAATCAAGAGTATGTAGGTCATATTTCAACAGAGCACAACCTTAGCAATATTTATGATTACTGCATTGAAATGTGCTCCATAATAAACAAGCACCTCTACATCACTCACACTTATGCACTTCTGCACAGCAAATCTGGGAGAAGTGGTACACACTCTACAGCCATCTTTTTAAACAGCCCTTTTATTTTTTTAAAAAAAAAGGCAAAGACAAGTTTTGTTTTGTTTTACATTATCGCTATGAAACGATTTTCTTGGAGGAGTTTTCTTTTGGGATTGTTTGTTTAATTGAATGACTCTGATAAATGCTAAGTTCTTGGCTCTGTTTCTTGTGCAGTGCTATTCACCCAATGACTTCAGCAGGACTTTTTTTTTTTTTTTTTTTTTTTTAGTAGTTCATAACATTTTGCAGAATCTACTGCAAAATCTGCAACTAACTTTCGAGTTTGTTTAACAGCGGGATTTTGCGTGTGCTGCATGCCAAATCAGGTATTTAAGAAAAAAAAATCAGGAGAAGAGTTTCTAAGTTGCTTAAAAACACACCAAAATAGGAAGGCTGAGCAAGGAGAGGTGTGTGACTTGTCCTACTCACATATTTCAGGCCTTACGAATTTGGAGTGGGTGTCAAGAGAGCAGGGAAAGCTGATACTCAGTCAGTACCAACCGTTACCTCTACAGCAGTTGTTAAAATATTCAGTTGATAAAGGCTGCTCTCGTGTTCTCTCCATCTGCACCGGCTTCCCCAGGGCTCACTGGAGCTCCAC